AAACTCTCTGCAAGAAGCAGCAAATAAGTCTCCCAACTAACTGGGTGCTGAGTAAAATGTTGAGATACCAGCCCTTAAAGGAAGAATGAATAAGCAATTCAGCATGGGATTTCCTGTCGTAGGCTGAGACAGCAGTGTTCTGTCTGCCAGCTACCTGCAAAGAAAGACACCATTTAAAACTTCACATCTGCCCAACATGACTGTCGTATAAAACCCACACTCAAAGCTTGGTGAGGAAGAAGGAAAGAGGAAAAGGGAAAGGAAATATGTTGGCAAGTCTTCTGGACTTTAGGAATTCCACAAGCAAAGACATTGCCAACATGGACTTTATAAGATATATGGAGTTAATAAAGGGAGTATTTGCAGAAAAATAAATAAATAAATAAATAAATAAATAAAAAATAAAAAAACAAAGGTGAGGCACCTTTGGTGAGAGTTGTAGACTAAGTTCCGAGAGAATCCAAATAGGTTGGACTTTCCCACATGACCCTCTTTCCCCCGACTTACAATACAGCCCCATCAATGTTCATTCATCAATTCAGATGATAAGCATTTACTGAGCGCCCACTGAGTGGATGCCATGGCACCCCTTCCAGCAGCTCCTCACCTGGCCCAGAGCTTGTGACATTAGTCAGGTCCTGCTGCTCTGTTCAAACCCCGCAACTCTTCCCAGTTTACTCAAAGTAAAACCCAGCATCCCGCAATGACCCCAAGACCCAAATGACCTGCTCCCTTAACCTTTGACCCCAAGACCCAAATGACCTGCCCCCTTAACCTTTGACCTCAGCTCCTGCTACTCCTCTTACTGAACCAGCTGCGGCCTCTCCCGCTCACCGCTGCAGGGCTTTCACTGGCTGCCCCCTCCCCGCAATGCTCTTCCCCCAGATACCGACACTGTCCCACCCTCTTCTTTTCAAGGTCAAGACTCAAATGTCAGTGGGATCTTCTCTGTACACCCTCTCTAACATTTCAGCCCTCACATCTCCTCCTCCTAGCTTTAGCATATATATATATATTACCATTTAAATACTATTTATTTTCCTTATTTACTTAGTCTATTGTCTGTCTCTTCACTAGAATGTTAACTGCCTTGAGCGCAGGGTCTCTTGTCTGTTGTGTTCACAGTGAATCTGCGGTGCCTAGAGTAGGCCCTGGCATATGAAGCCCCATAAATATGTGTTGGATGAATGGTGAGCATATAGACAGTCTGCATTCTACTCGGGAGAGCTGGGGGGTAAGGTGAGGAGGGGTGGACAGGGGCAGACCCCAGGCCACAGAGGCCTCTGACACCCCTCCTCTCCAGAGGTGTCATCCAGGATTGCATTATCACTAGTCTCAAGCAGCACGATTTATAACAGGAGTTAACTGCTTACTAATTAGCAGCTGGAACAATTAATTGGCTATTTGTTAGAGCCCAATTTAATAAACCGGTCTTTCAGCAGGGTCGTAACTCTCCCCGTAGCTCATTCCCTCCCAGCCAGCCTTCCCCACCTGACCAGAAAGTGTCTTGCCCAGAGATTGAATCGATACCTGCCACTGGATGATTTTCAGAGACAATTTCCCTCTCGAGGCAATGACAACATCCCTTCAAAGACTCTTCCTTTCTTTCTCCCTCTCCTCCGCTGCTGGAGGTGAGTGAGCAAGAGGCAGAGGAGACGGGGGCGCTTTCTAGTAACAGACTCTCACAACAAAAGCCCACAGCTGCCCTGCCATGCCAAGGTCTGGCTGCTGGCTCCCCGGCCTGGCATACACCCCTCAGTCAGCAGCGGGCCCCTGAGTCCTCCTGGAGCTCAAGGGCTGAGCTTTCCCTGGGGGAAACAATGGGATTTTCCTTAGGGCATCTAGGGTGGAACCCAAGAATTGGCAGTTGGTTGCTGACCACTGAGCTTCCAGGCCTCAGGCCTCATCTGACTCAGGTCTAGTGATCTAACTCTCTGCCCCACCCCCAAATGGCCCAGAGAGATGTTCCCTGTGTGTGAATAGAAGAGGAAATACTTCCAGTGAAAACACTCAGTAGGCCCTTAGGTGTCTTCAGTATAGAACAGCAGGGAAGAGCAAGGTCATAGAGCCAAGCTACCTAGGTCAGAGCCAGTTAGGCGTTTGGCAGCTGCGTGAGTCACTGGGTCTTTGTTATTCTGCGAGAATAACGGCTCTGTCTCACATAGTTGTGGTGAGAATTACATAGTTAATACACAGGAATGGCTTAGTCCAGTGCCTGGCATGTGGTGTCAGCTGTTATTATGTCTCCCCACCGCTCTGAAAGACTGGGATTCTCCCAGCTTTACAGCTGGGGAAACTGAGGCCCAGAGGGGTTAGGTGTGGAAGGCAGGACTAGTTCCCCAAGCCTAGTGCTCTTTTCCTTCTCTTTGTTGACTCACATCATCAGACAGAGGCCGAGGGCGGGGCTCATTGGCGGAGATGACTGAATTTACAGGCACAGCAAACAGGCTGTCAAGGTATTTACACTGCATACAATTAGCGGCAGAGTATTCACACGTGGATTAGCTACAGCAAATGTTCAATCCCAGCTTGGCTCCAAGTCTGTCCTCCCGTCCTCCTCCACCCCCCTCCCTAGTCTCCTCTCCCCATCATCAGGAGTCTTCTTTCTCCTCCTGGCCAGGGTAGGTGTTCTGGAATGACAAACTCAAGAGAATGTCAGCTGAGTCTGTGGGATTCCGTCCTCCCCCCTTCCCCCCACGCCCATGATGCATCTCACAGCCAAAGAAGAGCAATTAACTGCTGTTTGGGTTGGGCTAGCTAATTGGGGAAATAGGAAGGCAGTCTCCCATGACATGGATAAGGGCCCATTCACCGCAGAATGGGCAAAGCCAAGGAGAGCAGCACTCGGTGTGAGCACTCCTGAACGCTTCCTGGAAGAGGTGAGAATTTCTAGGAATTTTCAAACAGTGTGAAGAAGAGGACAATGAAAGAGGCTGCTCATCATTGCACCCTTAGTTGGTGCCACTTCCCTTTCAGATTGGGTGGGAAGGAGCCAGCAGCCCTGTATCCCCGTGGGGGCAGGAAGTGGGTTTTTCTCTTTGGGAGGATGGGTGGGGGGTGAGTAGAAAGGATGGCTGCATGGAGGGTATCCTAGGACTGTGGTATCTGGAGTATGATGAGCATCATTCATTCATTTAACAAGTCTTCAGCTGGTATCTGATGGGTCTGGATCCCCTATTCAGCGTTGGACCAACAGGAAAGGAAGGAGAGAGAAGGGGGGGGGGGTGAAGGAGGTGCAATTAAGAGGAGGTGGGCTGAAGAACAGGATTCTTCAGATGTTCTCTGACTTCCGGAGATGGACAGAAAAGGAGCTGAGGTTTCAGCTGAGAGCGCCCCCCCCCCCCCGCCCCCATGCAGCCTTGACTTTCTCCCCACACCTCCCACTCCTGCCTGGGAATTAGCCCCTGGACAGACAGGCAGGAGGGGAGGGCAGCAGCAGGAAATGAGCCTGGGGGAAAGGAGTGATTACTTATCACTATTTTTTAAAATTTATTTTAATTTACATACGAAAATATTAACTCGTGTGTGTGTGTGTGTGTGTGTGTGTGTACATTTCTTTGAGTTTTGACAAACGCAGAATCGGAGAACCAGCATATCAGCCAAGATCCGGAATAGTTCCGGGGGTTCGCGGTCGGGTTGGTAACCTCCACGCTCGCTAGCTGCTGCGGTTGCCTGCGCTCCCGCCGCCGCCCCAATGCAATCCCCGCGCTCACACCGAGATGGATAACGGCGACAGGTGGAGTGGGCGAGATGAGCAGGACCCGGTGCGGAGACAGGATCGGAGGCTTCCCGCTCCACGTCCCAGTGTACACCCCTCCCGCCGGCGTCTGGGAGAAGCACTCCCCCACCCCCGCCCCCAGCTCCTGGAGGGCCGGCTTGGGGCAGCGGAGTCCCGGGGTGTCAGACCCGGGCAGCCGGAGCGGGCCCGGGGCTCAGCGGCCGGAAAGGAGTGCGCCCCCCGGGGCGGTCTGGAGCGCCTGGCCTCCAGGGAGAAAGCTGGATGGCACGAGGGGAGCGCTGGGGGAGCGGGGGGGGGGGGGGAGAGGGTGGCACGGCTCGGCGCCGGGGTCCTGCGGACCGACCTGTTGGCAACCTGTGGGCCGCGGCGAGGGCAGGAGCTGTGCACGCGCCTCCCGGGCCGGCGGCCCCACGCCCTGCGCCGGGAGAGGCCGCGCTGGCCGGGGAAGGGGCGGGGGCGCGGCCGGGGGCGGGGGGCTCGGGGCGCGCACACAGCCCTGCAGACCGGCCGCGGGAAGCCCGCTCGCGCGCCTGCAGGACCCGGAGAACCGCGGGCGCCCCCGGCCTTTCCCTCCGATCCCCGCTTCCGTCTCGCTCCCCGAAAGTGCAAAACATTGACAAAGTGTACAGCGCCCCGCGGGCTCGGGTCCCCGGGGCGGGCGGCTGCTCCTGCCCCGCGAGCGAGCGCGATGGCACCGGGGCGCCCGGCAGGGTGGGCGAGGGCGGCGGAGAGCGGGGGTGCGCGCCGCCACGGAGCCCGCGCCGGAGCCCACGTCCCTCCGCCACTGTCCTCGGGATAGATGGATCCATTTCTGCTTTCTGACATTTTCCTGCGGGGGGGGGGAAGGGGCGGAGAGAGGGAGATGGGGGGGGGAGAGAGAGAGAGAGAGAGAGAGAAAGGAGAGAGAGAGAGAGAGAGAGAGAGAGAGAGAGAGAGAGAGAGAGAGAGAGAGAGAGAGAGAGAGAGAGGCAGGCTGCTTCCCCCAGCCCTGTTTTGTTTTCTCTAATTGGTCCTGGGGGAGGCGAGGAAATTGGACAGAGGCTGGACCGGGCGAGCCGGGCTCCCTTTAATTGGCTCCTTTTTTTTTTTTTTTTTTTTTTTTTAACTGGAGGGGAATCAAACAGGAGAGCGAGCGACGAAGGGTGGGAGAGCGAGAGACCGAGCGCGGAGACGCGGGGAGGAGGGGGAGGGAGGAGGGAGGGAGAGGGGAGGGCGGGCGGAGGGAGGCGGGGGAGCGAGTGAGCGGCTCCGAAGGGGAAAGCAGCCCAGTGAAGCCCAAGTTGCGGAGCGAGCGGAGCGCTCCCTCGGCCCGGAGCCCAGCGGCCGCCGCGCGGAGCCCGGCCCGGCCCCTCCCGCTCGGGCCCCCCGGCCAGGCCAGGCGCCGGGCGGGGCGGGGACGATCCGCTTGGGGCGCGGCGCGGCCCCGCTCCCCGGAGAGCGCGGAGCCAGGAGCGCCGCGGCCGCGGCCAGACCCCGGGAGCCGGGCGCGGCGAGGGGAGGCGGCGAGCGGCGCCCGCGCTGCAGCCCGGGCCTCGGCGGGAGCGCGAATATTTTCAAACGATTCAAACTTTCGTCCTCGCCCCGCTCCCCGCGGCCCGTCCTGCCTGGGATTGCTCTCCCGATCCCCGCGGGGCGCCCGGGCGCGATTCCTCCTCGGGGCTCCGCTAACTTCGCGGCCCGGGGCTCCGGGCTCTCTCCGCTCGGCCGAGTCCAGCCCGCGCTGCCCGCCCGCTCCGGAGGGCCAGGGCCCGGGCTCCTTCGCCCCCGGGAGGGCGCCCAGCCCGGTCCTCTTGGGTCGGGCCCTGGAGCCCCCAGCACCCGCCGCAGTACCGGAGCCCGCAGACTAACCCGCGCCGAGCCTGGCCTCCCGGCCGCCACCGGCCAGCGGAGGGGCGGCCCCCGGGCTCAGGAACCACAAGTTTATTTGTCGTCCTTGGCCTGTTGGAGCGAAGAACCGCGGCCGAAGAGGGTCCCCGAGAGGAGAGCCCCGGGGACGCGGGGAGACTCGGCGGCCGGGCTCCCGGGGCCGGGGCGCTGGCGGCTGCGCGGGGCGCGCGGAGGCTCCCGGGGCTGGGCCCGCGGCGCTGCCGGAGGAGCGAACCGCGCCGCCTCCACCGCCGCCTCCTCCGTCTCCGGTCCCCGGCGCCGCTCCGGGCAGGGGGAGACGCAGGGGCATCGCGGGGCCCCGGCGGATGCGCCCCCCGCCGCCTCTCGGGCTGCGCCGCCTCGCGGGGATGAAGCAGCGGCCGTGAAGATGGAGGTGACCTGCCTTCTGCTCCTGGCGCTGCTCCCCTTGCACTGCCGAGCGCAGGGCGTCTACGGTAAGACCGCGTCCCGCCGCGCAGGCAGCCCGGCGCCCGCGGAAACTTTGCAAGAGGCGCAGAGCGCGCGGCCGAGGCTCGGGGAGTCCCCGGCTCGCGCTCCGGAGGGGATGCCCGGGCCCCCGCCCTTTCCCGGGGCGCGAGGAGACCGAGCGGGCGAGCTGCTCCGGAGCACAGGGGCGGGTCGCAGGGTCTGGCGTGGAGCTGGTGGTGCCAGGGGAGGCACCCACTCTCTCACTCCCTGCCCGGGGCGGGAGGGACTCCGAACCCCGGAGAGCACCCCGTGGGCTCCGGCAGATCTCAGCGCGGGGGCCGGGCAGCGGCTGGCCCCGGAGCCCGGTTCACCCCGGCGCGGCCTCGGGCGGGGAAGCCAGGCGGCGTGTGGCCCGGAGTGGCGCGTGGTTGGCGCGAGAGCGGCTGCCGGCGCCGGCACGGAGGGAGCCGCGGGCTCGCCGTCCGCGATCCCAGGGAGGCTTCGCTTCCTGCGATCGCTTCTTGACAACTCGAGCGAGCGGCTGCCACGTTCTCTGGACCCAGAGCCTGAAGCCCGGCATCTCTTTTCGGACCTCTCTGGAGCCAGTTCTTCCTGCCTCCCGTGCCCGGCTACAAACCCAGCCCCACCTTCCTTTCCTGTGCGCGCGCACACACATACATACATACACACACACACACACACACACACACTCACACACTCACTCACACACTCACACTCAGGCACCGTTCCCCCCCAAAACGCAAACAAGGCACACACCCACCCGCTACGCCGCCAAACGCTGCCTTCTGCCTGGCAGCTTTGCTCCCACGTCCCCACGCCTCGCTTTTTGGGCGCTAAGGGGACTCCAGTCACCCCTTATCCCGTCTTTTCCGCGGGTTTTCCCCGGGAAAGGTCCCCAGAACAGGCATCCTCCCTCTCAGGGACCCTCCCTCTGACTTCTAGCAGCCCCAAACGCCCCCACCCCACAGCACAAAAAGTCAGTCTCTGGGCCCAGGGGCCCCTACTTTGTTTGCTTCCTGCTGGCTGCAGGGCAGTCTGTGTAGGCCACTTTTTAATGATGGGAGCTGGGGTGGGAGGATTCTCTTTCTGAGGCTGAGGGCGTAGTTCCTGTCTTTAAGATGGTGTGTGTGTGTGGTGGTGGTGGGGGGGGGGAAGAATTTGACCTGTTCTGTTGGTGCGGGTCAGAGGCTTTGTCCCTCCCCATACGTTTTCGGCCACCAGCCTCAGGTGCAGATGCCAGATGCCTCCTTCTGGGGGCGCCCCCCAGGGAGAGGGCTGCCCTGGGGGGTTTCTGGGATGTGACTTGCTTGGGTTTAACTCCCTGGGGAGGCTCGCCCAGGCATCTGGCCAAACTCTGCTTCTTAATTAGTTTGTGTGTCTCTTACTGCCTGGCCCTTTATATAGAGGCCAGAAAAGGAAGGACGAGGAAGAATGAGAGAGGCTGAGTTATGGGGAGGAGACTGAGTGGGTCCCAGAGGCCTCAGCCCCGCAGGACAGGGAAGGACACCAGGGATTGGGGGTGGGGGACATATTCCTTCTTCTTTCTCCCGAAGGTTTCCCTTCAGCCTCACTGTTCCTTAGGAGGAAGCCTACAGAGGGACACCCGTGAGGTCCCCCCTCTTTCTCACCACACCCAGGAGGTCTGGAGAGTGACTGAGAGCCCTCCTGTTTGCTGCCGCCCCCCACTCTGTCCTCCTCTGAGTGCCCTTGGGCAGATCTGGCATGCCCATATCCCTTTCCTCCATTCCCTCCACCTTCCCCAGCCTTCTCCAGGACTGCATGGGGCACATCTTAAGGAAGCTCCCTGGCCTCTACCTGGAAACCCCAGCAGTGAGGGCGGGGCGTGCGAGACAGGTGCAGTGGTCTCTGCAGACCCTGGTTTCAGAGTGTGCTGGGGCCTTGAGAGGGTTGAGTCACTGGCTCATCTGCCCCCTTTCTGGGTGTTTTCTGCCCTCCCTGAGCCCAAGCTCTCTCCCTCAGAGTGAGCTAAGTGGGTTGTGTGCATTGGGGCCATCCTTGACTCCTGGATGACTCTCTTTCCACCTGCCCTTTGAGAGCCTGGCTCCAGGGAAAGAAAGACCAGTGCCTCAGGGGAGTTGCTGGGTGGAAAGTCTTTATGGAGGTGGATGGAGAGAAAGGAAGATCTGGTTTGAGGAAGAGGCTAGCAGGAGGCTACGGAGTTCCTTGTGAAGCTTTGGCCAGATATAGCCAGAGAGAAGCATTGCAGGGCTGGAGCTGGGGCTGGGGCTGGGGTAAGGAGTAGTACGGAGAGCTGGTTTTCTGCTCCCTCCCCCACTTTCCCTCTATTCACAAAGCAGATGAAGCAACTTGAGAAGGAGTGGAGTGTAGGTGAGAAATGGTCAGGTGTGTCCATCCCTATATCCCAGCACCCAGCACGGCGCCCGACACACAGTAGGAGCTCAGCAAATATTTGTTGCAAGAATGAAGGGCCATGGTTTGGGGGAAGTTTGAAGAAATGCTTCTTGAAATTCTTTCTTTCCCAGGTGTCTCCCTAAGATGGTTTGCACAGGGCAGTTGGGCATTCCTTGAGGGTCTCTGCTTAGGGTGAGTCACAGAGTCTTAGGCTGGTGACTACAGACAGGGGACCTCAGGATGCAGAAGGGAGAGGAGGCTGGGAGCCCAGTGCTGCCCCAGGCAGTTTTTACTCAAGACACACACAAAAGAAGTGTGCCCTGGGGAGGGAACTGCCAGTTCCTTCCCCCCTGCTCCCAGGCCTGTGTGGCTGAGGGAGGAGCAGATTAGCAAACATGGAAGCTGAATTGGAGAGAGGGAGGAAGCCTGGGATGTGGAGGGCAGACCCCGCCATAATCTGGCCTGAGCTGGGAGCCTCTGCTGAGGCTGGTAGGAGGCAGGGGCCTGGACACCTATGTCCGCTTCCCGCTGAGGGTCCTCTTGCTGGACCTGAGCTGTGCTGCCTGCAATGGGATGGGGGAAGTGCTCTCAAACTGGCCAGGTGGCTCCCCTTCTTTGGGGCACAGATGCTCTAGCAGCTGAGGACCAGACCAGATGGTCCATTTGGAGCTGGTTCCCTCTTTCCTCGCAGCCTCCCAATCTCCTGGCAGTTTGTTGTGGTCCAGGGTGGATCCTGTGAGCTGCTCTCCGGCAGGCCAGGGTGGCGGGCTGCCCCAGAGGCCTAGTTCTGGGGAGAGGGAGTAGCCTAAGGGATGGAGGAATATCCTTCACCAGGTTACCACCTCCCCTGGCGCATCTCCGCCTAGAGCTGCCGGACTTCCAGCGAGGGGCGGGCTGAAGGGATTCCTCTCCCTTACAAAAACACAACAAACCTCTGGACTATTTAATATGCAGGAGTGGGAATTGACATTATCCTTAAGACAGGTTGTTTGCAACTTACTGGTGGAAGTCAAAATATTTCACCAAAGGTGTCATCAGAAACTACTATCCTATGCTAATTTTTGTGGGAACATGAAGACAGATGTTGAATAATTTGACAAGAGCAACATAGCTTACAGAATTATCACCAACTCGGGTTTTTTTCCCCTCTGAGGGTGCGGAGAAGGGATTTCAGGAAGTGAGCCTCCCAGCGCCGCCTTCTGGGTGTTGATCTAGGCGTGGGCACCGGGGATTTTCTCTGGTTTCCGCCCCAGGCCTAGAAACTGCCTGTCCTTTCGGACTCTCCCCTGGGAGAAGGCATCGCATTGGAAAACGATGGTCCCCTCAGCGCTAACAGGAAGCTTAGGGCTTTCCAAATGCCCTCCAGAAGGCCCCGTGCCTCTGTCCTTCCTTCCTTCTCAGTTACAGCAACTGCAGGAGGCAGAGGGCCTTGGTCCCTAGATCCAGGCGCTTTTGTTTGCTTTGCCAGCACTGTCTGTACCCCCGCAGGTTTGTTGGCCCCTGAGCCTGCTTGAGGGCTCCCCAGTTCTGGAGTCAGACTCAATTTCCCCCTCCCTCCCCCTTAGGGTCAAGATCTGCATGATGCCTCATCCTAAGAATCCGTGCTTCCTGGCTGTGGGGGCTCCAGAGGCGGTGGGGGTGGTTAGAGAGGATTATATTAGCCGGGAAAGCACCCTTGAGGGGGTGGCTGCAGACAGACCAAGGGCCTACTTGTAATTGGCCGAGCTTGGCTGTGAGCGGCTGGGGCCGGGTGGCAAAGCCTCATTTAAAGCCCGGTATTAGCTCTGCTTTGCTGGAACATGGAGGGACGGGCGGGGGGCTCCACAGGGAGAATGGAGGGAGCTAATCACGGCAGCCAAGACCGGCAAATGAATGATGCAGGAAATCAATACCTGGGTGTGGGAGTGGAAATCCGGGCAATCGTAGCGGCCGTGACTTCTCCGGCTGCCCAGGAGGCAGAGGCGGGCCTGGGAGGAATGAGACAGAGGCAGGAGTGTGGTGCGCCCTCCTCTCCACGTCACATCCTCCCCTTCCTGCCCCTAATCCTGCCTTCCTCACCCCTCCCCACTCCAGCCTTGCATCTCCTTGTGGCTGGGCTCAGGGAGCCTGGGCCAGGAGAGACCCCACCAGCAAAGAAGGGGGACCGGAGATGGGATCTGGGGCCTCTCAGTCCTAAGAGACATGCCCCACCCCTACCTTGCCTCAGGACACAGTCTGACTAGGTCCCAGGTGCAGGGGTGTGTACCTGAGGACCCTGCCCTGTGCACCTGGCACTGCCACTCCAGATATGGCCAGCAGGGGGCGGGCTCGGCTGCCACATTGCTCACTGCTTTTCCTGGGCTCTCTTGGCCTCAAGACTCCAGAGGGATGAGCCTTCCTCTAATCTAGGGGTGTCGAACTCAATCAGAGAAGGGGCCAAAATCTAAAATCCAGCCTAAATCGCGGGCCGAATGGTTTACTGAACAGTCATAAACTGTCATTGTGATGGAAACGCAGCGGAGTGCAGTGATGACAGCGCGGTGCGGGCCACATTGCAAGGCCTGGCGGGACAGATTTGGCCCGCGGGCCTTGTGTTTGACACATGTGCTCTAATCCCTTACCCTGAGACTCCCTAGGCCTTCTGTCGCTCCAT